TGAACATTGAAGAACCTGACCTTGTAATAAACATTCACACCATGCAATTTGTAAAAACACATTCTGAACATTGAAGAACCTGAACTTATAACAAACATTCACACCATGCAATTTGTAAGAACACATTCTGAACATTGAAGAACCTGAACTTATAATAAACATTCACACCATGCAATTTGTAAGAACACATTCTGAACATTGAAGAACATGAACTTGTAAAGAACATTCACAAAAAACACACTATTCAAAAATAGGTGTTAGGTAAAATTAACCATTCAGGAGGCCACATAACCTGAACCAGTTATTTCCAACCAATCGTTGACAGGGAAATTTCAGGTGATCCGCAAGATGATTGAAAAAAAATGTATGTTTTAAAATACAACTACTAAAGTACCTTATTTTACCAAGTAATATAAAAGTACTTTAAAAAATTAATATTGTATGAAGAGATTCATGAAATTTTGGGATCAGAACTAGCTAATCCTCGTCTAGAAAAGATTGAGAACCTACCATGTAAATAATATTGTCAGTTTTGTGACATCAATGTACTAATGTACTGTATAAACAAACATGATATGTTCTGTCAAAGAACTTGTGTAATAGTGTTCTTGACCTATAATACAACACAGTTACAATCAACATACATACCTTGTCAAACCAAAAGATCTCTGACAAACACAACAAAACTTGTAGTTTTCATTATTAATCCATTATAATTTAGTGGCTTATAATAACACAATTCAACTGGAATGTCAAAGTGACCAAACTTGAAATAAATGGTACTTACTATGTGCACTTAAAACGGCTAAAAGCTCGTATAAATACCCATGATTAGTAGGCTGAAAATTTTTACTCTTATAAAGACCATTTATGTATGCCGTACTTACCACACTTCACACCTATGGAAGCTCCTAATGCTTCAAACTGTTCGGAAATCTGAAAGGCTAACTCCCTGGTTGGAGTGAGAACTAAGGCAAACAACCGCTGAGGGTTCTGAAGGAGAGCCTGAAGAATAGGAAGAGCAAAAGCTCCTGTTTTTCCTGATCCTGTTTCAGCCAAACCAATGATGTCTTTTCCTTCATGCAAATATTTCAAAACTTTATAAATATTATGTAACTGTAAACTTGTCACGTTTTCTGTAAAAATACTACACCTTCATCAGCTATGCCACAAGAAACAACCGATACTAAAATACAATAATTAAATATTTACGAACTACTGAGTAAATGTAAAAGTCACAAGTCGTCTTTAAGGAATTTTTCTTTCCCCTTTTAAAAATATACATATTGTTTAACAGAGATCAGTCAGCATTATTGAGAATTAATACAGTCAGCATTATTGAGAATTAATACAGTCAGCATTATTGAAAATTAATATAGTCAGCATTATTGAGAATTAATACAGTCAGCATTATTGAGAATTAATATAGTCAGCATTATTGAGAATTAATACATAATATTAGTTTTTACACTAGAAAAGTTTGCTAAAATGCCATAAAAAACAACAAAATGGGATCATGGGCGAAAGTATCCCATGCAAATGGTTACATGGGTAGAAATAACTATATATTTTGGTGCAAGAACTTAGATCAGTAAATGGATAATGTATGAATCACGATTCACAGTGGCAGATCTCTCAACATTAGTAATAAGTATTAACTTCAATCAGTAATATCTAAAAGTACTTTCTCAACAGAGTGTCGGGTATTTTACGATACATTACTAATGATTACATCTCTGCAATACAATCATAACTGTTATTCGACAAAATAGTTCTTAACGGTTGAAGAACAATCTCACTTTTTGACACCTTTTTCACTGCACACAACAAAAAGAATATGACATAACAGAATTCTATCACAGTTTTACTGTATTTCAATTTTATATGACGATTGTAATTTATCATAACACATTCTGAACCTTGACAAACATGAGGTTGTAACAAACATTTCACATGATTCATGCCATGTAATTTATCATAACACATTCTGAACCTTGACAAACATGAGATTGTAACAAACATTTCACGATTCACACCATGTAATTTATTATAACACATTATTAACCTTGACAAACATGAGATTGTAACAAACATTTCACATGATTCACACCATGTAATTTATTATAACACATTCTGAACCTTGACAAACATGAGATTGTAACAAACATTTCACATGATTCACACCATGTAATTTATTATAACACATTCTGAACCTTGACAAACATGAGATTGTAACAAACATTTCACATGATTCAC